ACCTTATGATTACAATTAGACATTCTGGAAAAGGGAAAACTACAGAGACAGTAAAAAGGTCAGTGGTGGTTAGGGGGACAGGGGGAGAGGAATGAACAGGAGAAGCACAGAGGATTTTTAGGGCAGCAAAATTCTAAGGTATCATACAGCAGTGGATGCCTTGTCATTCTACATTTGTCAAAACCCACAGAATCAAAAGTAAGCCTAAGTAAACTACATGCTTTGAGTAATAATGGTATGTCAATGTAGTTTCACAGATAACAAATATACCACTCTGGTGCAGGGTACTGAAGAGGGTGTAAGGGATAGGGAATATGTGGGAATGGGGGTATATGGGAAATCTACACCTTCTGTTCAATTTTGCTGTAAGCCTGAAACTGCTCTAAAATACAAAAATACCACAGTAATCCATCATGTTAAATGAATAAGGGAGAAAAACTATATGGTTATTTCAGTAGATGCAGAAAAATCATGACAAAATTTAGCAATAATGATTAAATTTTAAAATTCTCAACGAACTAGCAATAGAACACAATTTCTTCAATCAGATAAAGGACATCTACCAAAATATCTCTAACTACTGTCATGCTTGACAGTGAAATTCTGAGTTTCCATCAGCTCAGGAGTAAAGTGACATATCCACCCTTCTAAGAGAACAAGCTAGTGTGTCAAATCAAGACCAAAAACATTGAAGGTATGAAGTCAGTTATCTTTTCTCAAATAATATAAATGTTTACACAGAAAAAGCAAGTGGCAACCAAAACTATTTCAAAATAATTAAAAATAATAAACTCATAAGGACCTCAGAAAACAAAATCTGATGTAAAAATCAATTGTATCCACATATTGGCAATAAATTATTTGAATATTAAAAAATGTTTGGGGGCCAGGGATTTAGCTCAGTGGTTCTACCGCCTGCCTCACAAGCACAAGGTCCCGAGTTCAATCCCCAGTACCAAAAAAAAAAAGTTTAACGTCATTTACCACCATGTCAAAAATTTACATACTTAGAAATAAATTTAACAAAATATGAACAAAACCTATACACTGAAACTAAAAGACATCCTTGAGTAAAATTAAATGAGACTTTAAAAAAAAAGGAGAAATACCTTGTTCAAGGATATCTAGTAGAAAACATTATTCCCAAATTTTATCTATAAGCTCAATGTAAACTCAATTATGGTATAATACCAAGAGGCTCTTACAGAAACTAACACTGATTCTAAAAAGCAAAAGCCGTAAAATAAACCTCGCAAGCACAAGGTCCTGAGTTTGATTCCCAGTATCAAGAAAAAAAAAAGCAATAATTCAATAAAGGAAAAATATCCTTTCCAAAAAAGGGTGCTGAAACAACTGGACGTATGGAAAAAAGGATACCACAAAAGAAGATGGAGCTTCTCCTCCCTCCCTAGAGAACCTCAGGCCCTGCCTTTGTGTTCAACACTCTGGAAGTTCTTCAACCTCTCTCCCCTTGGTCTTTCCAGTAAACTGCATTAGGTAGGCATGACTGAATAAACCACTGGCCATTGGTGATCAACTTACCCTTCAGACCGTCTCACTTCCTTTGAGCTTGAGAGGTAAGAGTGAAATTTCCAGCCCTCTAAACCTGTCCTGGTCTGTCTAGTTACTAACACCTTCCAGAAAGTACCTTTAGTGGTTGTCAGCCATCAATCAGTTTTTAGCATACAAATGCCTTACTGGGTATGGAACTCAGGGCCTTGTGACCACTAGGCCAGCACTCTACCACTAAGGTACATCACCAGCTCTAAAGAGAGCTTTTTAGTAAAAAGAAAAATGATCCCAAAGTAAAGTATATGAATGTAAAAGAGTACGTGAATGTGAAGAGCAAGAGGAAATACACAGATACACCTAAATGACCAGATGCAGTATAATGATATCTTCGGGGGCTTAAAACATATGTTGAACTGAAAGCACATCACAACAATGATCTAAACAAAATGTAGAAATTAAATAAACAGGAATGGCAATATACAAATTTACGAAGAATACATGTAGCAATCTCTAGTGACCAATGCAAAAACAAAGTAAAACTAAGAAATCGGGGGGGGGGGCATTTAAAATAGTCTATGAATGCAAGAAATAAGAGAAAAATAATATAGACTGGACAAGAGAAATGTTAACTGACTAAATATATGTCAATTAAAAGATAACAGATCTTCAAAATGGATTGAAAATCAAAACCTAACTATATTCTATTTAATGAGAATCATACCATACAGTTATCAAAAGCTTAAACAAAAGCAATGGAGTAAGATATTCAGTGCCAATATTAATAAGTGAGAATAGCTCTACTATCACATTAAGGAAATTTAAGTCAAAGTATTACAGAGAATGCATTCCATAATAATAAAAGTTAATCATCAGGAAGATAAACAGTTTAGTTAATGTATCACCAAAACTGAAAAAATAAAAAGAAACAAACCCTCTCTCAGGAAATGTTAAATGAAGAAAACATAAAGAAAGTGAAAAGACTAAAGATTAATGAACTTGGCCTAATTGCTATTTATACTCATAGCAAATTTCAAAGGACTACAATAACCCAGTGTATGTCCTCTGACCACTTTGACATTATAAATCAATGACAGAAGTATAAGGAAATCCTCCAACTGTTTACAATCTCAGCTACTGGGGACAGAGGCAGAAAGATTCCAAGTTTGATGGCAGCTTAGGTAACTTAGCAAGAGCCTATCTCAAAATAAAATAAAAAAGAGCCGAAGATACTCTCATACCAGAGGGAAAAATAAAAAGAGAAACTTCTAAACTCATAAACCCAAAACAAAGCACAGTGAAAATATAAAGCCACATTAGAAATCACATTACATTTTGAGCAAAACAGTAATGAAAATATGACACATCAAAATGTGCCAGCTGAAACCAAAGCTCCTTAAAGGAAAACATAAAACTTAAGAGCGTTAAATTAACTTTTTTTTTTTTTGGCGTTACTGTGGGTTGAACCAGGGCCTTTGAACTGAGCTGCATCCCCAGCTATCTATCTATCTATCTATCTATCCATCCATCTACATATGTGTATATATATGTACATATATATATATTTTTGGTACCGGGGATCGAACTTGGGACCTTACATTTGTGAGACAGGCGGCAGAACCAATGAGCTAAATCCCCAGTCCCTCTACCTATATTTTGATAAAATCTTGCTAATTTGCCCAAGCTGGGCTAGAACTTGCAATCCTCCTGCCTCAGCCTCTCAGAATGCTGGGATTGCAGCCCTGTACTACTATGCACAGCTTTTAATGCATTTTTTAGAAGAAAAGCATTTTTAGAAGAAATTTTAAAAGAATAGCAAATTAAAACCCAAAAGAAAAGAAAGGAAATATTTAAAAGTAGAAATTAATGGGGCCAAAGATTTAGCTCAGTGGTTTCGCTGCCTGCTGCGCAAGTGCAAGGACCCAAGTTCGATCCCCAGTACAAAAAAAAAAAAAAGTAGAAATTAATGAAAGAGAAAACTAGTCTACAATAGCAAAACCCAAAAGTTAATTCACTGAAATAAAAATAAAACTGATAAACCCCCTGCAAGATAAATGAAAAAATGAGACATTAATGAATGGTCACTTGAATCAACAATCAATATAGTAATAAGTCTTAAAAATTAGATATGAACAAACTTAACAAAACTAACACATAGAAAATCAAAGTGATCTTATTTTCATTAAATATATATATTTTAATTATATACTTACCATATATTTTATATTTCCATCATACATACATATTTTTTTTAAGACTTTCTCACTAGAACTCTCCAGGCCAAGAAAGCTTCACCAGTGAAATGTTATCAGCATAAAAGGAAAAAGCAATAACAATCTTCACAACTTCTAGAAACACTAAAAGAGGGAACACTCCCCTCTTCTTATGAAACCAGCATAACTAAGATACCAAAACCTGATCCTACTTCTGTAGAAAGTTACAAGCCAATTTCTCTCAAGAAATAGATACAAAGATCCTTTTAAAAACAACATAAAAAAATAGCACACCAAATCTATAAATGCATAAAAAAGGAGACTACATAATAACCGCACTGGGATTATTTTAGGAATGCAAAGTTAAACATTTGAAAACAAATCAGTATAATCAACACATTAACCAAGTGTCTTAAAAGATGCAGATAAAGCAATTTATTAAAATTCAACACAGTTCATAATTTTAAAACTATAAGTAACATAATCACTAAGTATGAAGTCAATAAGTATAATTCAATTAATTATAATTATGTTTTCAATAATTAGAAAAGAAAATTTAACAAACCATTCTAATAATAACATCAAGAATATCAAATATACCTAGAAACAAACCTGAAAGATATGAAAATTCTCATATTGAATGAAAACTATAAAACATTAAGAGAAATTTATAGAGCCTTTAAAAGTGGAAGAATAAACCAAATCCATAGATTAGTTGCCCCAATATTAAGATTTCAATCATCTGCAAAGTGATCTTTAATTTCAATACAATCTTAATCCAAATTTTAGGAAAGGGGAGAAAGGGAGAGAGGAGAGGGGAGGGGGGGTAGGGGAGACAGGGAGGGAGAGAGAGAGAGACAGACAGACAGACAGACAGACAGACTGAGACTGTTTAGAAACAGAAAGACTGACTCTAAAACACGATGGGAGAAGTCAGGAGCGGAAAGGAATCACAGTTTATACACTACCAAACATCAAGACTTCTTACTAACTAGAGTAATTTAAGATAGTATGATACACAGACCAAAGGAATAAAAGAAAGTCCTGAAAATTATTCACATTTATAATAACATATGAAGTACACATGAAAACATGCAACATTTTAGAAAACCATTCCATATAGAGAAGCTTTCATTCAAAACTTTAGGGTATTTTCTGATCAACCATATCAATTAGAACCACAACTAAATACTTTGGTTAAATTTTCTCACAATTATTATTATATAAAACACCTTCTAAAACAGTTAGCAGACATCCTATAAAATCTTAATCTCTTACCTCCCCAAAAGCTCCTCGACCAATCACCTTTAATATTTCAAAGTCTTCTCTATGTAATCGCATTTGTTTCACTTTAGAAGTAAATGGTTTAGCTGAAACAAAAAAGCAACATCAATTACTTTCTTAATAAAATGTGATACCAGTTAGAAATGCAACAGATATGGAATATTATTAATTGTAATTTGAATTTTTATTAAGAACTAAGCTGAAGTATTTTAAAATCTCATCAACCTACATGAGAATAAACTGATTTAAATTCCCTAAAAAATATATATATATATATTTTTTTTCTTTATTTCTTATATATGAATTACATTTTTGGTTAAAAACATATTTTCAAACACCAGATAAAACAGGAAATAACACAAAGCAGCAAGTACTATATGTAGAAATGATACCAGTTTAATTTCATGTTAAACATTCTACGTATTCTAACTATCAATCTAGACATATATTTTAACAAAAAGGTCCAAGAAGTTAAAAAGCCAATTTCATGGCACCAGAGAGATCTTCAGCAATACCTGCCAGGTAAATTAATATTTCTTTCATGCTCATTCATTAAATTTATTTATCTATTAACAGGCTTATGCAAGAGTGTGCACTATACAAAGCATGATGGCAATGACTAAATTAAAAAAAAAAAAGATGACTACAACATGGTACCTCCCTTCAAGCTCTGTCTTAAAGTAAGACAGACAAGTAGGTATGAGCACTCACAGACACAATCAAACAATTTGATAAGATTTCTAACAGAGGTAATATAAAGTGCTGCAGTACAAGGTGAAAGGGACATTATGTGAACACTCCTTAGAAAAAAGATTAATGGATGAACATTACCTTGACGACTAAGTAGAATTTTGCACTGCTGTCTGGGTTTGACATTATAGACATTCTAGGCAGAGGGAATAACATAAGTAAATGGAGAGAGGCAAAGAAGTGAATTTGATATGATGATGGCAAATACTCCATTGTTATGGAATTTCAAGAAAAAAATTAGAGATGGAAACATACAAAAGGTCTTAAATGTCATGCAAGAAACTCAGTTGCAATCCTACTATTTTAAAATTTATATTTTAATGACTAAATCAACTGTATATTCTGCTCTGCTGCCTATAAAAGAAGTTTAGAACTGTCTCCTTTCCTCTGCTCATGTCCTATATTCTGAACAAAAAGGAGCTGATATAATTAAAAGGTTATTGGGCCGGGGATTTAGCTCAGTGGTTTCGCCGCCTGCTGCCCAAGCACAAGGACCCGAGTTCGATCCATGGTACCAAAAAAAAAAAAAGTTATTACACATGAGGAAACCTCTCCTTTCTTTCTTCATGAAGTGAATGTGACATGCATCGAGCATTAGGGGAGTGAAATAGACATAGCAGGCCTTAAGTTTGTTTCGGTATGAAGATATTTAGCCTAACTAGCTTAGAAAACAGGTATTCTACACTTTTTAGCCCAATCTACTAGAGGTTTCTGAATCTGTGTTTTATATTGTAAAGAAAGGAAAGAGACTGAATCTCTATCTAGAATTCATATACTAGAGAAAAGGAAGATCAAAGAGATTAAATTTGAGTGAAGGTAAGAAGGATCTCAAACTGTGAAAAAGAGGTATATGAAGCAGCCAGGAGGTGAGCACTTTGAATAAAATGACCAAGGATTTGTTTTGGTTAATTTGTTGATAGCAGTCATTCTTCCTGGAGTGAGGTAGAATCTCAGCGTTGTTTTCATTTTCATCTCTCAGATGACCAGTGATCTTGAACATTTTTTTCATATGTTTATTTGCTATTTCTACTTCTTTGACTGAGAAATGTCTGTAGATTTCAAATGCCCATTTTTTGACTGGGTCTTTAAATTTGGGAGTCTGATTTTTGTAAGTTCTTTATATATTCTAGATAGCAGACCACTGTCCGAGAAACAGCTGGTAAAAATTTTTTCCCACATTGTGGGTTGTCTCCTCACTCTGTTGGTAGTTTCTCTTGCTGTGCAGAAGCTGTTTGTTTGTTTAGTGTTTTTTGGTATTGGGGATCAAACTCAAGACCTTGCACTTGGGAGGCAGGCGCAGTGCCACTGAGCTAAATCCCCCACCCAGAAGCTTTTTAATAAGATGAGATACCAGTTGTTGATTCTTTGTGTTAGTTTATGTGCATCTGAGGTTTTGTTCTTGAAGTCTTTTCCTACACCAATGTCTTGAAGAGTTCTACCTCTCTTCCAGCCAGTTTAGTGTTTCTGTTTTAATAAACAGATCTTTGATGAATTTTGATTTTAGTTTAGTGCATGGTGAGAGATACAGGTCTAGTATTAATCTTTGGCAAGTTGAAACTCAATTTTTCCAGCACCATTTATTAAAGAGGCTACTTTTCCTCTAGTGAAGGTGTTTGGCTCTTTTATCAAAGATGAGGTGGCTGAGTATAGAGTTGTTTCTGCATCTTCTAATCTGTTCCACTGATCCTCGGGTGTGTTTCTTTGCCAGTACCATGCTGTTTTTATCATAGTAGCTTTGTAGTATAGTTTCAAGTTGGGGATTGTGAGACACAGCTATTCCCCTGCTGGGTATCTTCCCAAAAGAATTAAAAGAATCATACCAAGGTGATATATGCACACCCATGTTTATAGCGGCACAGTTTGTAATATCTAAAATTTAGAAACAGCCCCATTGCCCATCAACTGGAGACTGGATAAAGATATGGGATGTTTTTAACAAAATGAAGTACTACTCAGCCATAAAGAATGAGAAACTAAGAGAAACACAGCTAAATGGATGCACAATGAGGCCATACTCTTAAGTGAAATAAATAGGACACACATGTGGAAATACTGAATAGTTTCTCTGGTGTTAGAAACTGAAAGTGTAAATGAGGATCAAAATGTATAATAGATAATGTGAAACAGGAAGAAAAAGTCCAAAGGGTAGGGGAAGGGGAAGTGGGAGGGTTAGGAGAAAGGAAAGAAGGGAAAGGAATAAATATGAGAAAAGGAAAAAATGGAAACAAAGTCTTTGTAAATAGGGAGGAGTGGAGGGGTTGGAGGGAGGGCAGGGGAATGGGGAAAAAAAATAAGAACCAAGAGATATCATGTAAAGGTACAAATTCCCAATGATGAATGTCATCACATTGTAACCTTAAATGTACCAATAAACTTAATGAATTTAATTAATTCCTGGACCACAAACTGAAATAAATAAATAAATAAATAAATAAATAAATAATAAAATGACCAAGGCATCATAATTGTAAACAAATTGAACTAAAAAACTTGTAAGAATGTGGCTACTGTGTATTAGTCAGGATCTCAAGAGAAACAAATTACACTAGTTTAAGAAAAGTTTTTAGTGAGGCAGGAGAATCACTGTGAGATTGAGGACAGCCTAGGCTACATACTGAGTTCAAGACCAGCCTGAACTGCATAGTGAAAAGAAAAGTTTATAGAAGAGTAGGTAAGATATAAGAGAACATACAAGGTATAGTACAATAATCTGGGACTACTGTCCCTCCATTACCCAGATTCTACACCAGCATATCAGAAACACTATATAATGACCCTAAACTAGTTATTTATAATCTAGTTCAGTTCTTAAAGGACAATTCTAAGGTATACCTTCATCTGGGTAACATCCTAGTTAATCTGTAAGGTCAGAAATCTAGATATTTCAATCCTCTAAAACACCACTGCAAAACAGCAAAGAAACTTTTTTTGACCAGAGTAACTGAAATTTGATTTATATTATTATTTGATATACTGTACATCATCTTTCCACACAGCTGCATATACCCCAAAAACATAAGCAAATGAGAACTATAAAATCACTTGTAATTAGGATTAAACAGTTTGCCAGTTATGCAATTTTATGGGAACTTGCATTAATAAAAAAAAATAATAGCCCTATTTTTTCCCCCGGAACCTGTTAGAATAAAAATTACAATTCCTTTTATTAAAAATTCTGGTCCTTTGACTTGGTAAACTGTTTTACTTTCAGATATTCAAAAATGAGTTCTTTACATCATTAATTTCTTCAGAAGTTTCACAGTTCATGAATCATTTGGTCAATTAGCTAAAGAAATATCTTTTAATATCCTCTGAATGCCAAGCATTTTACAAGATGATGGAGGTAGGAAGATGAATAAAACAGGTCTTGTCTCTGAGTAAACAAATGACACTTGATACTCCATTTAAAACTTCCATTGTAGTTGAATGTAAATTACTGGTAAACAGACAACATTGCTCACCATTATAAGATGTCAGAGAAATGCACATTAACTTAACAAGAGTATTTTATTACTTACCAACCAAATGTGCCAAAAATTTAAAAATCTGAAGCCATCAAACATTGGCAAGAACATAACAGATATTGTGATGTATAGCTGGTTAAGTATTAACTTAACTGTAATCACTATAGAGAATTGGTTTTTCATTCTCTTAATATGGAATATTACTTTAGTCATTAGAAGTTGAACTTTTTATATTCTGGGACAAACTTTATTTGGTAGTAATGAGTTTTTGTTGTTGTTGTTTAATACACAGGTGAAACTCTTCTGCTTTGGTTTTTGTTGTCCTCTCAGTTTTTCCCCTTCTCCTCCTCCACTCCTTTTTTGAATGCACAGCCTTATACATGCTAGGCAAGTGCTCTACCACTGAATTATAATTGCAGCCCCTTTTAATTTAATTTTAAAGTTCTCATCTCTAACTTGTGATCCTCCTGTCTCAGCCTTCCATATAGTGGCAAGCCTATATAGTCTTAGATACTGGGGAGGATGAGGTGGAAGATCACTTGAGCACAGGAGTACAAGAGCAGCCTGAGAAACACAGTGAGGTTCCATCATACACATACACACACACACACACACACACACACACACACACCCCATAATACACATATTGAAGGCTCTGAACCAATAACAGACATATATCTCTAGCAGTAATGAGAAGATTATATAGCATCTAGATATTGGTTTCTAGTCACCATTCTTAAAAAAAACACCAAGGTTCCTGGGAGAAATGGCTAACATGATGAGCACATCACAGTAATGAACAAAATAACAGTATATGCTTCCAGGTATGATATGCTGAGAATGAACAAACCATCACTATGACTGCTCGCCTG